TGTCCCCATCACTAGCAGATGAGCTACAGCTACAGCCACTTCGTCTCGGATCGGAGGGGGACATCTTGATGATTACACAAGCCTCCCCCAGTCAGACCTGAACCTTCAGCCTTTGGAACAGGAGACGTAGAAGAACTTGTCCTTCCACCCATGGACGGACGAGAGGAGGGGTTGTGCACCAGCTTCCCCCTCCGAGGGTGGAAGTAATACATGTTGGCCTCAGAAGCGTGGTTCCTCGGTGCGAACATGGCGCGGAACATCCTTAACGTCAGCTCCAGACCCCAAAGCCGAGCCCATACTAACTTTGCTATGATGGTCCTAAGGGCATTGGGAATGAGTTGACTGATAGTGATACCATACCACTCCAGCAACTCAGAGATTAAAGAAGGGAGGGGAAACCTAAGGCCAGACTCTAAAAAATGCTGGTAGACACAGATTTCCCCCTCCTCGGGGGTCCACGGCCAATCACCTACATCGAGGACCCTAAGATCATAGGACTAGGTTATATGGAACCTTCTTGCCAGGGATTTGACCTGGCTCACATCCAAGGAGCTATCAAACTCTGAGCGTGGTAAACCAGCGTCAGCCACCCTTCGGGCAGCATTTCCTTCCACCGGTCCGGCGACAACCTCCACGACATCTTCCTCCTCGGAGAGAGGAGACCCTTCGGGCTCCCTTGGTGACGCCGACATGACGCTTTCATGGGGAGAGTTATTATCCTGATGGTAGCCCTCGACACCCCCCGAGGCTACCCTTTCTCTTAGTACGGCCACCTCCCGTCGTAGGGGGTCTACAACTAAAGAACCTAGGGAGGAGAGAGGAGAAGGGGTTTCAGGAGAGCTCCCTCCCGAGGTGTTCAGGAGTTCATGGCATTTAGGGCCGGAGTCCGAGAACGACATAGTGAATTACCTAAATAGAAGGAGGTGAAGACGAGGTGTCTTGAAGGATGGAGAACCTGGGAAAGTCCTGAAGGATCGAGAGCTTGAGAGCTGAGTTCACTCAATAACAAGGGCGTCTAAGTTCAAATGACGGGGAAAGTCACCACTAAGGCCCCTATTTAAAGGAAAATGGATGGCTTAGATCTCACTAGATCCGACGGCTGAGGCACCTCCGCTTCCACCATCCAACCATAATGTGCCACCCGACGCTCATCCTCGGAAGGTGAAACGACTCCCAAGCAATGGCTCGGATCACCATAGATCCAATGGTCACAGGAACCCTCTGCTTCTACAAACCAGTTATACCGCAACTTTCAGCATGTGCCCTCAAAAGATGAAATGATGCTGGGTGAACCGCAAGGTTCGCCCGCCACAGCCCGCAGGGCTTGCCCATCTTGAACCACCGGGCAGACCGCTCAACCCAACAAACGTGCACCCATCTGGGTGACCATCCTCCACACGGTAGGCCCCTGATGTGGCTTGACCGTACGTGATACGGAACATCTCCGCTAAACCGAGTCATCCACACCACATGCATCTCCGAACCAATGAGGAGGGAAGACACACACGAAGTGAAAACGACACCACTGCATGCTACCCCTCGATTGACAAATCCGAAGGCATAGCAATTGCTACTCCCAACGACCGAAGTTGAGGCCTTACCCAAACTATCATCTTCATTTCCAACCGAAGCCAAGACCTCGCCTCGGCCTCGGGAGTGGGGGGCAAGTGATGTGGGCAAGTGATGTGGGCACACTAACGCCTAACAACGCCAGCCACAACAGGGGGGAAGCCCGCTGCCTTCGTACGGAGCCAACCGCGGAGTAGTTAGGCGTACCCGCAATGACCTTTCGCCTGACTTCGTACGGCCCTCATCTGATGCGTTCATCTCCACCTACCTCCAGCTCGCTCAAGTATAAATATGAGGTAACTCTCCCTTGACAAGGGATCCAGATTCCAGAATTCTGGTACAGCTCTCTCATTTACTTCCAGCACGTACTTCACTTCCTTAGCATTTATTTCTGGGGACCCAATGCACCTGAGGACCACCATTGAGGCCTCGTCTGGACCTAGTGAGATCTAAGCCATCTCTATGAACCTCTTTACCGAAACGACGACTTACAACCCTTGGCTTCTACCTTCCTCAAAGGGAGCACCTCACCTCGGCCTACGATCTTCGGCCTCGGCTTACTCTCTTCAGAACCCTCAAAGTCTTCGGCCTGCCTTTGGAACTTGGGAGTGAATTTACCCCTCTGCCCTCAGCTAATCCGAGCAGCAACAATTCCTTTTGCCTCTTATATCTTGAATGAATGAATTCCACTTTACCAAGGCCACAAAAATTGAAAATAACTATTGACTATCCCACCCCTTGCATTGTAGTGGCTAAATTTCCATGCCTAAGATCTCTCTGATTGTAAACATCCTTACAAGCATCCTTTTTGCCTCTTATATTTATGAAATGGAATACAATAAAAAGAAGATTAATATGATATCAAGCCTGTATCTCCATTTGAATCTAAACTCACCCTACGTGATAATATAGATTTTATAATGTGAAACTAAGATGGTGTTCATATCATAGTTCTAAATAAAGTTGGTATGCTTCAGAAAATGTACAAGCCTTTTCAAAAAGGATATATTTTTTTGAATCATACAATTCTTAATACTGTAGTTTGGTTACTAGTATTAAGTTGGTATGCTTCAGAAAATGTACAAACCTTTTCAAAAAGGATATATTTTTTTGAATCATACAATTCTTGGTTCTGTTTTGAACCAGACAAAAACAAGAGATATATGGTCTATTTTTTGAACCAAACACACAAATATTGATTTTGTCCCACATGTACAAGAGATATATGGTTCTGAATTGATATTTCAAACTTGTCATTGTTAGTTCAGGTTTTTTCTTTTATAGAAGAGAACCTCAAAGCCTAAAAGTGAATTGAAATTTCATAGGTATTATCTTTCACGTACACGCTTAACATCTTTCCCTTCAATTTCTAATTGAGTTTTTTTTCCTGATCTTATCTAACCTGCAAATAAATGGAGATTATAATTATACCTGTTCTAGTTTTCATTTTCAATAATGTCAATAGATGGATTCTACTAGTCTTCTTCTGATTAACTTCTTCACAAATGAATAGAATGAACCATATATGCAAACAAGAAAAAGAGAGTCATTCATCAAAAAAAATAAAAAAACAAGAAAAAGCGAGTCCTCATTAAGCCCCTAATTAGAAAACTATTTTTGGCCCTTGCACTGTTGTAAATGCGTGTTAAGTGCAAACAAGAGTGTAAATTATGGTTTAATTTTACCTCAGATTGGACCTTGTGTCTTATTTGTTTGTGAAAAGAAAATTAAAGTGGTGTGGCCCCAACTCTTATGAAAGAGAATGGAGGTGGGGCTTATTTGTTTAGGACTAATTGTAAAAAGCAAGATATATGATATGGTCCTCATTTTATATGAGATAGATTTGAAGTAGGAGAAAGGTACTGTCAATTTTGCACCAATTTTTTAGATTAAAATTTACACTGCTAAGCAACTGAAAATGAGATAAAAAATTACAAATTTTCATTAGATAGAAGTGCAAATATAATTACAACAAATAGATGCAAAATTTATATCTGGTTCAGATTTGAACGGCAATCAAATCTTGTGTAAATGCATGAAACTGCAAATAGGCTGAATGTAAATTCTGGCTTACTTTTGCTTCATATTTGATTTTTTCTTATTAGTTCGTGAGAAGTAAAATAGGGAGTAAAAGAATGTAATCTCCATCTTGTATGAGAGGGTGGAGGTAAAAGGAGGGTTATTGGCTTGAGAGTGAGGTGAGAAGCAAGCCCCAGGTGTTCAGATTGACACTGCAAAAACAAAGCCTTATGGTTAGGGATGTCAACGAGAGTTGGTTTGGTATGGGTTTGTCTCAACCCTAACCTGACCCTCCAATGTTCCTACTTGAACCCAACCCGATTTGACTAATTAAATAAAACAGATCATTTTCAGGCTTAGGTACCACATAGGCACATACCCTGTAGAAAGCTCTATTTCCTTTTTCCTTTTCTCCTTCATCTATGCAATGGTAATTTAGAAAAATCAATAAACTAGTGTCTATCCATTTGTAACTATGAATGTGCTTTAATTATGTGTTCATGGGCAGATCTCCCTTGATTACAAATACATGATCTTAAAATGATCCGTTTTATAATACCTTAGTTTGCAAATAAGATCTTTAATTATGTCTTCAAACGCATGTGGATTTTGTTTCGGTGAATGAGATCTTTGCAATCATTTGGTAGGATGTATTTGTAAAGGTTGTGTCAGTTTTTTCATGATTTTTGGAGTTCTTGTAGGATTGTTAACACCATCGATCCAGGGTATATTTTACTATCCTCGTCCCTAGATTTGACAACAACCTCATCAATGTATTTGACATCTATTTCTAGTTAAATGTCATATAAGAAGAGTGAAATAGTTTTCTGAAGCTCAACGGGTTAGATTAGGATAGGAGCTTAGGTGAATATTTAGTTTGATCTCTGGGGGTGGGGGGCGGTTTGATCTCTCAGATGAATTTTTAGGAGTACTGATTGTGAAGAATCAGTACAATGTGAGAAGTATGTGTTTGATGATCTCTTAGGATTAGTGTCCCACTACTCCAAATTATTAAGGTAGTCATTTCAAATATTGGTCAAATAAATTATTAAGGTAGTCACCTGCATAATTTCAGTGTTTATTGATACTGTTGCCAAAAGTACTTTTTTGCCATTATTGATTCTTAATTATCTTTCAACTCCTTTATTAATACTTGATTATTAGAGCTGAAATTAGAGTTTTTTTTTGTCCTTAATTCTCTCTCTTTATAGAGCATTCCACCTGCCTTTGTGGAGCAAATAGCAAGCGACTGGTCTGAAGGAGCTACTTTAAAGGGTCCTAGTGGTCAGCTATGGCATATCAAAATAAAAATCGAAGTTAACCGAGTTTTTTTTGAGGATGGTTGGGAGATTTTCGCAAAGGACCATTGCTTGAATGTTGGTTACTTTTTGGTATTTAGGTATGAAGGAAATATGAATTTTACTGTGAGAATCTTTGATACAAGAGCATGTTGGGATGAGCATGCTTTTATTGTCACGTCTTCACAAGAACCACCCAACAGCTTGGCTTCCAACTGGTTTGAACAACAAAATAATAAGACCACAAGTAAGAAGCTTCTTAAACTTGATGGTAGTGATTATATTTAATGTATTCATTATCTTTATATATATATATATATATATGTATGAATTTTTTCTTTTGTGATATAGGAGATAAAGCTTCATCACCGAATCCTGATAAGTCTAGTGAGAGTGTAAGAGCAATTGCAAGGGGAAAAGCATATGCATTTCACTCCCATAAGCCTTATTTTGTGGCTGAAATTAAAGCATCCAATGTAGGCATGCCATGCTGTTTTGTGAGTTGGTTCTCTCCCCTGTTGTATGCTCTTGTTAAGAATTAATAATTTATCAAGAATTAGTTCTTTCATTTATTGACTAGATGTTGTTGATACAGCATATAAAGAGGTCTTTTGCAAAGTATCTCCCAAAACATCAAGAACAAATTGTCTTACGAGTTCCAGAAGGTGGAAGGTGGGAGGTGAATTACTACTATACTGAAAGAAATAAGGGTTTATACGGAGGATGGAGTGCATTTTCCCGCGACAACAATCTTATTGAAGGAGATTATTGTGTATTTGAGCTTGTAAATGAATTAGAGATGATGGTTTACATTTTTCGTTGATGGATATTAATTGGAAGTAAGAATTTCAATTTGAAAAATGTAGGTTACTTGACAGTCTTTGTTCTTTGTTTTTATTTTCTATTCATGTAACACCACTCTGCTACACAGTATAGTTTTCTGTTTCCTATAAGCTACACATCTTGATTGAATTTCTGTAACAATGTCCATAGAATAGATAGACAACTTTTATACAAGATGGTGTGGGTATACCTATATCCTCAACAGGTTGTCAGCTGGTAAATCCTTTTACATGGAAACATCTTTAAGTGCAACACAACAACAAATTAGAGCTAGTGTGCCTTGTTCAAGTTGCCCAACCTAACCTGGATTTTGCTGAAAAGCCCAGTTAATTCAACTTCCTGATTGTTAATTAATTAAGCTGGGTGTGTGTCATTAACCATTACCATTCAAACTTGTTTTCAGGTGAGAATATTATAAGCTCGAAGTTTCCCTTTTAGTTTCTTCAATGGAAGAGCCATCAATGAATATGTTGAAAAGTAAAAGTGATAATTTTATAATTTTCTTTTATATTTTATCTGAGAAAACGGTGCTGTATATTCAACATTGATGCCAAACATATACTAGGTGAGTGTCTGAGTTTTCTGAAACTCTATACTTCCAGAACCAAATGAATGCTTGGACTCACTGAAACCAAGCGTCTAGTTTTTGAATATCCTGTGCATGTGCATGCTTCTGGTTGCCAGGCAGACATTGCTTTAAACAGATGCATCCATCTTGGATGGAATAAATAGCTACTAGGTGTGGAAAATTATAAAAAAAAAAAAGGGACAAAAGGAATTCTAGGAAGAAAGCTCTAAAACATGATAGTTTTGGCAAAACAATTGAATCTTCAAAACCAAATAAACTCATCTCTTGCATCAACTTGTCTCTTCCATTCACTAGTTCCACCATTAATTGTTGTCTCGTATCTTTATTGGCCACTTTCTTGGCCAAAATGAGATTCCGAGCACCTTATGGCTGATCATTGATCATAACCCAATTGATTATATCAAGTGATTAGCAAAAATGAGATTCTCTGCTGTTATATTTCTATTTCTGATCTGTGTGTTTTTTGTTTTTCTTTGAATTAATTATAGCTCTACTTTTGGTTGCACTGCAGCCTTGAGATCTTTCTCCATGGTTGCAATGAAATTTTATTTGCACTAGTACAAAACTACAAATGCATGGGATAGTGCAAATGAAAATAATGCAAATTCTGGTTTAATTATGGTTAGGTTTTTACTTTATTCTACTTTTAGTCTTATTTTACTTCATTTGTACTTCAAGCAAACAAAATAAGGTAAAATTTGAATTAAAAAATAATTCAGATTTGCACCCAAATCATTTGCACTACCATAGTTTTACAAAGCAATATATTTTGTAGGAGTTAGTTGAAGATATTGAAGGAGAATCATAAATAGTAGGGCATATCACATGTAAACAAAACAAGGTTCAGGCCATCAATGTTTTGAAAACCGGACAGAATGGTTGGATTGGAAAACCCAGGAATCGGTCACCTGATCAGTTCTGTTTTATCCCAAAACTTCTATTTGGCAAAAAACCGTTGATTTGGTTAGCGAACCGCTGACCCAGGTGGTCGAACTGTTCGACCTGGGAATAGCTTTTGGCCGTTTTTTTGGTTTTTTCCCTATTTGGTCTGGTTTTAAAAACCTTGTAGGCCATTCTACAAAGAAAAATGGTAGGTTTCAGGTCTGAAAAAATTTATTCATATAACAAATTCATGGTGGAATCACATGAAAATTTTCATATTTGATTGCTCATTTAAACAATAGAATATATTATATGCAAACAAAGCAAGATGCAGGCCATTCTACTGAGCAAATTTTGGTTGGGTGGAATCAGAATTCCATTCCCATTCTTGTTGGAATGGCATTCCCCCATTTGAGGGATTGGCTATTCCCCACCCCCTTGGGAATGAAATCCTATTCCTACTAATTTTAATTTCCATTCACATTCCTGCCTGAACCAAACAGATTATGGGAATGAACAATTTCGATTGCAATTTCCAATTCTGACTGCAAACCAAATGGACCCTTAAATGGAATCACATGAGAACTTTCATATTTGAAAGGTAATGAACAGTAGTACTTCTTAAATGCAAACAAAGCATATATCAAGAACCTTCAGATTTAGGTCTAAAAAGTAACTCACAGTAGCAAATTCATGAGGAAATCACTTGAGAACCTTCAGATTTGAAAGGCCTTTCAACAATAGCATATATCAAGAACATTCCTTTGCTTTCTTCTCCTTCAGGTTTCTCTTTATAATTTATTTAAATAGAGGGAAAAGAAACCCATCTCTCTTCTAGTTGTATATTTATAGTCCATGGTATTTTTACTTTTGTTTAATGGTTTATCACAGTCCACAGTTAAGACTACATACATCTTCCTTAATCATCCATAAAAACCCTATCAAGTCACAATGGGTATTTGGCATTTCACTTGATTAAGGAATAGTTATGCGCAAGAAAGCTTTTGTTCGATCATACAGTTATTTTAAAACAATTGAAGATGCCATTAGAGCAAATATCACTTAACTATCAATTTGTGTTAACTGATATTTTAATTATTATTTGCTTTTAAATGATATTTAATATGTAACTTGGTCCACTACTTGACATTAACTTTTTTTTTTATTTATATTTTTTAGATTGAGATATATACAAGACACAACAATAGACATATGGGTGTAAGATTGATGAAGAAATATAATTTTTTTCTTTAATATGTAATGAGACAACCAATTACAATACATTTATTATAATGGATGTATGAAAACTCTCAATTTGGAAATATATATTCACATTTGTTATTGATTTATTAGTCATTTTGATTTAAAAATAGAAAAAATGGCCTTTTGCATGAATAGGTTATGACTGCTGGTACAAACTTCTAGTGGTGTTTTCTATTTTTAGGTTTTCAGTGGCAGTTATATATATTCGTCGCTGTAATTGAATAAAATGTTTTCGGCAAGGAACATAGCAGCCACTATATTTAGTTTATTTACCACAATTTACAATCTATAGTGGCAGTCATTTCACCGTTATAAGTTTTCAAAATGCTGAATTACTGCATTTGGTGGCAATTATAGATGCCATCATACCATATACATTTATCACTATTTCTGAACTATAGTGTTAGATTATCCACTGTTATATAAATTATTACAATTAAGGGTGCATTCGAGTTGAGTCTAACCAAATATTTGGCTATTCGAGTTAGACTCGTAGGAATAGTATTAGGCTCGAGTTCTATTTGAGCTAAAGACTTAAGTTCGGTTTGATTCGAGTTCGACTCTAAGCTAAGTTTTTTTTAAATAAAAATTATATGTATAAAATTATTTTTTTACTTTTTAGATAAAAAATTAAGAATTATAATTTTTTTACTATTATACATAAAAATAAAAATATTATATATTAAAAAATATTATTGTGTATAATAAAATTATTTATTATATGTATGTATGTATGTATATAATAAAAATTATTTATTTAATACTAGGCTCATGAGTCTCACGAGCCAAACTTCATTGGGCTCGAGCTTGATTCGATTTGCAAACAAGCCTATGTATTGGACTCGAATTCGGTTTAAACTGAGCCGAACCAAGCCTCGGCCCATGGCCACCCCCAATCGCAACTAATCCGTGCTTTTATAAGTGGTAAATGTTTCCACCACCCTTTGATGAACTTCCCTCGCTAAAGAAAACTGTTTTAGCTGCAGATGTCTTGTTTGCCATTATATGTTATATTGACACAATTTAGTAGCGGAAGTATATCCATTTCTTTAGACATTTTATGGGGTGTTCTTTTTTTTTTGGATTTTGAGAGGGGGGAAGTTGGTCAATGGGATTTTGGTTCCCATTGATCAAGAATCCTATGTTCTTTTTTCAGATTAATGTGGGGACCAGGGAAAGTTTATTTTTTTGGATATCACTTTCCCAGGTAAGTGATATCCATCTCCTAGGTGGGTAAATAAGTTTCCTATTAGGGGGAAATTTCCAATACTTGAATAGAACAACAATGCCCCTTTTAATAATGGATTTTTATGGTTAAAATGGTCATTTCCTTTTTTACTTGGGAAATAAAAGAACATGGATAAATACACTTACCTGGATAAATAACTTACCAAAAAGGGAATAGGGTCTTAGTGGAAAATTTTGTGTTACTGCAGTAAATAAAAATGCGAGTATAAGCTAACTTTTTTGTAGGCTAATTCATGCTCTAATTGTGTTTTTGCAAACTTTAGAACTTCATTGAATCCCAAATAATATGCACGCTTTGCAAGCCAATGGGCATTTGGAATTTGAAATACGACAATTATCAAATGCCATTTCATATAGGAGTGTTCATAGTTCGATTAATCGAATTGAGGCTATTTTTAAAACCGAAGTATCAAACCATTTCTTCCAGTGTTTGGAAAATCGGGGGCCTATTTTCCAAACCAAATCGAAGCAGATTGTTAATCGATTCTGTTTCCAACTGGTTTGGTTCATCAGTTTTTTTAGATATAATATATATATATCGGTTTATTCAATTAATTGTCGGTTTTTTATAAGCGAAATTTTTTATTCAGTTAGCTTTCTTGATTGTAGTTCCAACGTTTTGTGCTAACATAAAAGACTGATGCCTGCAAAATGAAACCGGATATATATTTCTTGGCAAAAAGGAAGGGAGTTCTCTATCAGGTCTTTTACAACCCATCTCCTTCCCAACCTTTGACTTGAGAGATGGGAGTTCTCTATCAGGATAACATAAAACCCATAGTTCTCTGAGTGCATCATTGATGTTCCACACAGAAGACCCATCAAAAGGGGTACTTTCAACTTTTGCTGTAGAGCCCTCAGTTTCTAACTTTCTATTCTTGTAAGGGACTAGGACTAAGTGTAATATGACTTGTTCAATCTGAATGTTGGAAGGAAGAGATAAAAGTCTTCCAAGAAATGATCCAGATCTACGGACAATTTTTGCCGAGCACTGTGTAATTAAGGTTGTGTTTGGCATCATTGCCACTTCCATGGTTGTCAATTTGGACTAAACCGGATTGTCGGACTGGAAAACTCGGGAATCCATCAAGTGATTGGTTCCGTTTTATCCCAGAACCATTATTTTGTCAAAAATCGTTGATTTGGTCAGGAAATCGTTGACCCAGGCAGTCGAACTATTCGAACTGTTCGAACCATCCAACTGCTTTGGCGGTTTTTATTTATTTTTTTATTTTTTTGTCAGAATGGACTGTCCATTCGATTCGAACAGTCGGACCATTTGACCCAGGAACCAGATCCCTGACCGGTTCGGTTTTAAAAACCTTGGCCACTTTTACTTGCAACCTTTTCTTTTGATAAATATAAATTTTATGAGAAATTGTCTTCTCACATGTATTTTATTGTATAATTACGTTCTCTATGTAATATGTGAATTATTTTATATTTAATTTATGTTTTTGTAATTTTTATTTATAAAAAAAATATTATAAATTGCAATTTGAAGCAAAAAAAGGGGATTTTTTTTTTGTGAAAATGATGGGGCAAGGTGCCTATGACTCTTTGGGATGCATAGATTTTGAAAAGGTACACAAAATTAAAAAAAAAAAGACACGCCACCCCAGTGAGCAATGTCCTCTACATTTATTTGCATACACATGTAGTGTACAATCTATGACTTAATAACTGGGTTGAATGGTTCAATGGTCTAACAACCCAAATAGGGGTGCAAATGGATCGGATCCAATCTGAATCCAACCCTATTTTTGTTGGATGCTGATAACCCCTAACGGATTTTCGGATTGAAATGGATGTCAAATCACCCCTACATTGATTTGACCTATATACTCTATTGTATTTTTGTAATATACATACATGCATATATATATATATATATATATATATATATATATATATATATATATATATATATATATGATGAAAATAGTTGAAAAAATATTTATGCTTTTTATTTTTGTTTATATAAACTATTATGTTTTTTAATAATTTGTTAAATTTTTAAAAATGAAATTAATCAAATAAAATATCACACTGAACAGATTTGAATTCAAATAACTATTGATAAAATCCAATCCAATTGGTTCATGGATTTATATTATTAAATCGTATTCAGATATAACCTAATTTGAATTTGCTCCACCTAGAGGGGGTTTATATAATTGAACCCACCGCCAGAATTCTTAGCCCCATAGTACAGTTGGTTGGTACCAGCTCGGAATTGATGCCAATATACTAGCGGATACTGGTGTTCAAGGTGGGGTATTTGACATTTTGAATTATTATAGGTCTTGAATGTAATTTAGAATTCTTCAATGGATGTCGTGTAATTTTCCGTTTATAATTATAGATCGGAATTAGATATACTTGGTACCAATATGGAATTTATATTATCATATATAGGGGTGAGCAAAAAAAAACCGAAAAACCAAACCAACCGAAACCTAACCGATCGATTCGGTTTCGATTCGGTGTTTTTAAAAACCAAAGGTACCAGTTTGGTTTCAGTTAACCAATATAAAAAACCGGCGGTTAATCGAACTGACCGGTATACATATATTCTATATATTTTATATATATTTATATATATTATATGTATTTTTATATTTTTTATATATTATATATTAATAAATATGCATTATATATATGAATATATATTTAAAATATATGATATATTATTTATTAATTAAAATATAATATTTTATATATATTTAGAATTTTTATTATATATTTTTATTTTTTTATAATATATATTATAAAAATTAAAAAACTGAAAAATCAACGAACTAAACCAATGGTTAACTGAACCGGTCAACCGGTTAACAGACTGGTTTCGGTTACCGGTTTTTCTAAAAGCCGGTAGTAGCGGTTCGGATCTAAAAAAAGCCCCACCGAACCGTGAGCACCCTTTCATATCGGATTCAGAATCGAATCCTTCTTTTTTTTTTTTGGGTATATAAATTCAGAATCGAATCCGATTCAGATGTTCTTAACATCTCAAGAACAAATGTGTGAGGAAAAAGTGGAGGAGGACAACAAGCGAAGATTGGATTTGGAACTGCTGCGCGGATAGATGAATTAATACAAGTATATAAATAAGAAAAAGAGGCGGAGTCGGAATCATCTGGTGATAGCTTAGCAGCTACAGAAGGAAGAATGAAGTCAGATAAAATAGGAAGCTATTTTCTATTTTTTCCGGCGAGAATAGTAATTTCGTTGAAAGGGGGTCAGGCTCAGTTGTCGGAGCAAGATAAGATGGTCAACCTTGATGGACCGGATATTGATAAGAAACCAAGAGAGGAAAGTGGGCAGATAGGTTCAGAGCTGCGTACAGAAGTACTTGTAGAACCAAAAACGGAAGTTGGCAGTTTGTTCTTCATCAAAACATGCATACATTTTCAGTGATACTCGAAGCTTTTGAGATTGAGCAGATCATGGGAAGCAGCATTTTTCAGTCAACTCTTACGGGTGAACTACTGGGCAGGTGGGCTGTTGAAGCAGCTTTAAGCGAAAAGGAGCAGGCTTTTGATCAGTTGATTTCTAGCAGTAAGAAGGTATGTCGTTTGGCGAGCAAAAAGGATTGTTGCACGATCACTTGGAAGAAAACTATAAAAACAATATAACGTCTCACACAACTGCAAGCTCCAGCTGCTGTGTTGGTAGTTCTTCTTAAATCTTTGGTTGAGACGTCTCACACACACACACACACACAGGGAGGGAGGGAGGGAGAGAGAGAGAGAGAGAGAGAGAGAGAGAATGGAGACTGTTTGCCGGAGCTGCTCTAGACCGAAGCCGGAGTTCTTTAAAGCTCTCATCGGAGACTTTAAGCAGCGACTGGTATGTACTGATCCCCATGTAAAAAATTTGATATTATAGTGCTAGTTCCTGTTGTCACTGCTTCTCCATGGAAGCACTTCCACGGAAATATCAAAATCATTAGTCGTTCATTGGGTCAAATATCAAAACCATCTCAACCTTCTAAGTTGACCGATAATCAGTAGGGGCTCAAAGACTAATTTCCTTGTTGGGGTTTCCGGGTTGGATTTCTTTTGCAACAATAAATATGATCTTTTGTGTTTCATGTATGAAATGTTACTTGTGGAGTTCAAGTGATTTCCATTTTAACTGAGAAAACTCCCTTCACAGAGACGTTAGATTTGGCGTGGGTGTTCTGAAAGGTACCCTGTTTTGCGAGGATTGGTAAAATGAACTATTAGGTTCCCTATGTTACGTTCCAATAGCCCTCCCCAAACCCCAAAACCCTATAATTCTAATGAAGATGGAGTTCCACATTGTAGATTTGACTGAGCTAGTTCTGAAAACTTCCTCTCTGGTTTCATAGGCCTTCACCTTGACATTATATATAAAATTTTTTAATGCAAATACAGTTACAAACTCCAGATTATATTGTCTATCAATGTTTTTGTCCCTAGTTCCAGATTGTTGATGTGTGTACTCTCTTGTTAGTCACTCAAGTTCAGACTTTACATTCAATAGTGTTTGCAATTGCAACTCAACTAAACTCTGGTTTTTTGTATCTTGTAGCGGATCCCACATGCCTTTGTCAAGCATATCTCAGAAGAATCATCAGGAAGAGTGATTTTGGAGGGTCCTAATCATGGTATATGGCATGTCAAATTAAACAAAACAATGAATGGAATATTGTTCCTTGAAGATGGTTGGGAGAAATTTTCAACAGACAGCTCCTTAAGGCTAGGAGAGTTTTTAATTTTCAAATACAAAGGTGATATACATTTCAGTGTTCGCATATTTGGTCAAAGCGCATGCTGCAAGCGAGAGGATTCATTTAATGTGAAATCTTCACAAGAATCACCCTACGTCCAAGGAAGAAGGAAACGTGGCAAGCCACCAAAGAGTTCCAAAACCGAGAAACAAGGTGAGAACTGAGAACAAGGAAGGTATTTTGGCTGCATTTGGTTTGGAGGAAATGGTAGGAAAACCTATACATTAGATTCAAACCAAACGCTGCCTTATATTAGCAGAACTAAATTAATCTTTTCACTAAAAGTTTCATCTTAAGAAATGATTACAAAATTCTTGCCTTTTCCCATTGGTGCTATAAATTAGATTAAGATATGCCCTGATTGGATATAGTCTGCTTTCCTTTCTCTTTTTTTTTTTTGGGTGCACTGCTTTTTGTTTCATTAGGCTGTTTTTAGTTTGAAAGAACAAGTAAGAATCTCTTCCACATTAATTGGTGCTTGCCTTTTCTTTAGGCTGTTTTTGGGTGCACTGCTTTTCTTTCAAACCAAACACAACTTTAAGGTTTGAAGTTTACTTGACATTCACTGCCACATTAATTGATCATGATTCAACTTGTGTTTTCAAAGATTCTTTCCTAATCCTTTAGATAAAGATTTTATTGCTAATAATATAACCTCACTTCTTGTTGCCGTGTTTAACAGAGCAAGAGATGGAGACTCTTTGTCCAAATTGCTTAGATGTGAAACCAGAGTTCTTCAAGGTCATTATTGGAGATCAAATAATGCTGAAGATGGTAAGCGAACAAATTTTTCTGCCAATTTTTAAATTGAAACAAATGCATCTTTTCCAAAATTATTCATGTAATTCAATGATTTATGGTCAATGAATTACATCCTCTAAATTGAAACAAATCCTGCCAAGCCACTCTTGGCTTCAGTACATCCTCTTATGTATTTCTGTTTTTCTCTTCTTCAATAAAAAGTTACCTTTGCTTCAAAAAAAAATTCATTGATTTATGGTCCTAAGTCTGATTTCTAGAGGATGATATATGACAAATACTGAACAATTGTTAATTATAAACTCGAGCTATGGATTAGAACTAACTTATCTAAACTGGTGATTGCTTTACCTGAAAATGGTCAATACTGGTTTTATACTCAGTTAATTCTACTTTTCAATCTCTCCACAAAGTTCTTGTTATTACCATTCTAGTTGCTTAAAGTTCAGTTCTGTAATCTTGTAGCGGATTCCACCTGCTTTCGTCAAGCACGTTTCAGAAAAATCATCTGAAAGAGTGACTTTAGAGTGTCCCGGTGGAGATATATGGCATGCCAAATTATCCAGAAGAGCAGATGGAATGTTCATTGAAGATGGTTGGGAAAAATTTTTGAGGGACCAATCCTTAGGGGATGAAGAGTTTTTGGTTTTCAGATACAATGGTGATTTGCATTTCAGTGTAACAATTTTTGACAAAAGTGCATGCTGGCGTGAGGATTCATTTGAAGTTAATAATCCCTCACAAGTAGCAAACCACCCAGGAAGTAATCCATCAATGTCTTTTGAAACAAATAAACATGGTACTGCTGAGAAACCTCGGAGGAACAGGTTTCTTGGACTGCAAAATCCAAATCAGTATGACCCTCTCCATTCATTTCAAGGAACTGAAGGTGACTATTCTGCTTCTCATAACTGAATCAAATATTCTTTGAATGGATCCATACTTTGAAGTTTTCTTGGCATGTTCTCTATATTAACTTTCTCTATTCTTTGGATATATAAAACTAGTTAACTACCCTTGGTTCCATTGGTTTCTGACATGAAGTCCTCCATTAACATATTGCTTAGTAAGAACAAAGGAATTCAAGATCAACCCATGGGTATGTTTAATATATTTAATATATGTATGCCCATGAGGATGTAATGGTGAAATTCAAATAACTGCAATACAATTTAACTTGGCTCTATTCAATAAAGCTTCATCCCAGATATATGGAGTAGGCTAAAAGAAACTTGTTGCATCATCCCACTCTATTTAGTTCCATATAATTCCTTAATTATGTAACCTCAAAACATTTCTCAGTAGCTACTTAGCCCATACTACCCTTTTAGGCTACCCTGGCTTTTGTAGACTCTTCAAACTTGCAATAGAGCACTTTTATTATTATGAGCAAATCATCTTGATCTGCTTTTACTTATTTTATCACCTATTGGACTACTAATTAAATTCTCATAATATTCCCATTTCAAATTCTACCCTTTTTCAATTTGGATCCATCGATCTCAACATTTGGGTTTCTATCACATTCAGCATACAAAATTGTTATGGTTGTTTTCTAAATTTTTTTCTTTTAGCATGAATGTTATTCTCCAATGGAATAGTACTCTAAATTCATTCCTCCCTTTCACCCATCCTACTTTAATTCTATGGGGAACATCTTCTTAAGTCTCTCCTCTATCTTGAGTTATTATACTGAGATTATTAAAGAGATCATTTAAGGTATTTCTTGATCTCTAATCCTAATTTTTTACACTTTTTTTTATCTTACATATCTTAAAACCTCTTGGTTTTAGATCTATGCATCTAATTTTGCACTTGATCTGAGTATCCTCATTTAATTCTATCAAAAAATTTGGAATTTAATGAAAACTACCATATATTTCACAAAGAAATTAGAGAAAATAATATCCAATCTTCTAGCATTTCTTGTTTGTTTCATGATACAGGACAAAGGAAATCATCACCAAATTCTGTTAAGCACTATGAAATTGCAAGGTCAAAAGAATGGGAAGCTGCTTTTACATTTAAAAAACCTTATTTCATAGTTGAAATGAAAGAACATTGTGTCGACAAGCCGTTTTATGTGGTGAGTGTTCTTCTTACATTTGTATATGAAATACATGTTCTTATTCTATTTCACCATTATATGTACCCAGAAATATTGCCCTCTGGGAGGGTGACTAGATGTAATGAAGAAGGATCATAAATAAATCACTAACTTGGATCCAATGGAAAGCCATGTAGATAACATCTACATTGGAGCTCAATTACTGTCAGAGCTCTAAACAATACAGACCACATTGAGAATTATATAATGACTTCGACATGCAAAGTTGCAATGGCAATTACTAAAGGGTAAATTGCTGAAACCTCTCCTGATGTTTTGGACCATTAAAACCTCCCCTAAAGTTTAGTAATTGCAATCACCTCTCCTGAACTTCCTGACACAGTTGCAAGTAGACACACTCTGATAAAATCTTCTAAAAATGGGGATGAAAATGACCAAAATACCCATGCAGTTACTATTAAGGCTGGTTTCTACCAAAAAAACAATACAAACTTTATGAATAATATAAACAAAGAGAATTTAAAGTTTCAGCCCTTCGAGTGATTAATTTTATGGGAAGATTTTAAAAATAAATCAATTTCACAAAAGAGATTGGAAGGGTTTGGGGTAGTGATTCATATGAAGAGAATTTGAAAAAATAAATGTTTTTGTCAAAAATAATTGCATGGGCATTTTAGACATTTTCATGCATCTTTTTAAAAGATTTTACCAAAGGGGGCCTACATGCAACTATGGTAGAAAGTTCAGGAAAAGTGATTGCAATTACCAAATTTTAGGGGAGGTTTTAGGCTTTTAGCAACAACCAGAAACTTCAGGGGAGGTTTCAGCAATTTACCCATTACTAAACCCACTCAGCAGAAATTCACTTGCCACATATCCGACCCTCTCTGCTGTGACCCATAGACCTATAAGAATTAGGCCATGCCACTTTAGTTGAAATTCATTATTTGATACCCGATTTTCATTAATGCTAGAATAAAGGTGTCAATTATATGTTAAGTATTTATGAATTATGACCTTTAAGTCACAAAATTTCCCTTTTTGTGTTCTCCTTTTGCTTAATATTGCACTCTTCTATCTTGACTGACTGGATCTTATACAGACCATACCATCTTCGTTTGTGAGATCCTATATTCCATATAAAAAGGTCAAGATGGTCCTGCAAACTGACAATAACAAAAGGTGGCCTGTGAGTTTCAGTAAATTCGCAACAAGATCTTGCATATGTGGAGGGTGGGCTAAGTTCTGCCTTGATAGCAATCTCAGGAAAGGAGATTATTGTGCATTTGAGCTTGTGGATGAACTTGAGCTTCGTGTGTATATCAGCCGAGTTCACTGAACTTCCTACTGATGAAAATGAATTCTCGCATCGGCTTTCACAGCTCTAAAATAGTGAATACACCATTTAATATTTTTAGATCACAAAAACTTTCAAATCTAAAACTTGTTAAACGTCAAGATACTGTTTTTTTTTTTTATCAATAACAGAAAAAAGGATATTCTGTTTATTTTATATTTTTATGTTCATCTCTTTTTTATATATTGACGGTAGTCTTATTAGAGGTTTGTCATAATTTGTTTGTCCGTAGTCTCTACTTCTACATTTTTTTTAGCTTACTGGACCGGATGGTCGGACTGGTTGACTCAGGAACAGTCTAGGCAACCAGTTCCGTTTCATCCTAAAACCATTTTTGGGCAAAAACCATTGATTTGGTCAGCAATCCGCTGACCCGGTTGGTCGAAAAATCGATCCACCGACTCAGACAATGATTTTGGCCTTTTTTTATATTTTAATTTTTTATTTTTTAAATCAAAATGAGCCATTTGTTCAAACCAGACGGTCAGATTGTTTGACCTGGGAATTGGTGGCTAAAATGGTTTCGTATCCGGTCCAGCTTTTAAAACCTTGAGCTTAAGCTATAAGGTAAGGTCCACCCACCCATACCTTGTGCAGAAATTGAATTAATTATAATGGGATGCAATGAGAACCGAACATTAGACCACTTGGTCAAACAGACTTTGATACTATCTCAGAGAACTATTCAACCCAAAAGCTTAGCTGTTAAGTGAGGCCTTGAATAAGTTAATCTCTATCACAAATGTATACCAGTTTATATATCCTTGTAAGCTTTTGATTTTATATAAAGATCCACTTAAATATAAAGCTGTAAATTGGGTTGTGCCGCCTACGGCCTGGCACAACAATATGCGGGCCATGTTGGGCACGACACGATGGCATGGGTCGTGTCAGGCCTGGGGTTTCACATGCATGGGCTGGCACGACAATATGCTGTCCTACTTTTAATATATATAAAATTTTGCTTCCAATTTTATTATACTGTTTTATTTTATTATTGCATATATAAACAATTGTATACATCAAAGTTCAAAATTCATATAAAATAAAAATTTAAAGATTTATTTTCAATTTTTTTAAATAGATATCATATAGCTTGGCCCTGGCCTAATTCTCGGCCCACGGCACAGCATGTGCCTGTACATGCTTAGGCCATGGGCCATGCAGGGCCGATTCCTCAAATTATCCCAAGGGGGAGAGGCATAGCCTGGAATGGCCCACGGGTTGCATATGGGCTGTGCCATGCCAACCTAACATGGTACAATTTACACCTCTACTTAAATACCACAAAAAATCTGGTTGTTCATGTTTGACAGCCTGGGATGTCAATAGCGTTCTCTCTGTGTGACTTGTAAGCTCACTGAGCAATGGCCTCCAGTATTGATATTGTTGCAAGTAGAGATGCCAAATTGCCAATGGGTCAGGTTTTGCTAAACCCTAACCCAACCCGAAGCATCACCGATTCAACCCGAGCAGAGTTTAACACTCTCATCATTGATATTAATTAGAGTGATTTAATGCGAGACGGTAGGTTACAATCCCACAGGAAACAAATGGTTCAAATGAAAAAGCAGGAAGCAACTGAATTACACCACCGCTTTACAAACAGCACCAAAGTTTAACACAATAACTAAATTCCCTTAATTATTATAACCATGGGTTTTAGTATAAGAATTACAGGTAATAAGATTTAAATTTGGATCTCAAATCCTTTACCACACCATACTCCAATTGTTTGCCAAACTTATGTGGATTCTAATCTTAATGTTGATTATCTTTTCAGAAGATTTTTATCAATAAATGTTAAAAACTGATTATTAAAATTTATATATTTATTAATACTAACACAAATCATATTGTTTTTTAAGAAATTAAAATATACTCATATATGTTATATTTTAGTTCTATAATTTTTCAATGTTTCCTAAGTGCATCTCGCAGTTCACACTTCACATAAACTATAGATTTAAGTACATGATTTTATTTTATTTTATTTTGGTATTACATATTGCACATTATTGGAGGGAAAAGTCAGGGGTGGGGACAGAGCAGGATGCATATGAGGCCCATTAACTTTACCACAGAGAACCTGCAGTTCCACAGGTTTTATCCTAACCCGATTCGGGGAGGATCTAATAGTCATTTTCTGCTCCAATATTTGGGTGAGTTGTAGGCCAAATATCAGTTTAATTGGACTGTTGGTATGGCCATATGGGTGCAAATCACACTGGGTCAAGTCAGTTGAGATCAACCCTAACTCAACCTCAGTTGTTGAATCCCCAACTCTAACCCTCATTCAATTCTATGACATTGTGTTGAGTTTGGATAGGGTTAGGTTCAGGTTCACCCAATTTCTCCACTTCTTGCTTTGAAAAACGTATTCTCCATTACTAAGCTAAGGATTAATCAATTCAAGTTAAATTTAACATTAGTATGTATGTTGATCTACCTTAAGAATATTATATTTATGCATTTTAGAGTACTATATTTATGTGTGCATTATAATATTTCAGTAAGAATCTTTTTTATAAATTATTTCACTAAAAGCTCTTAATCCCTAAACTGTTTGGCACTGGCCCATTTTTTGGTCTTCCCTCCCCCTTCCAAAACACACACACACACACAATGCAATCAACAAACTGTGACGAATATAGGGGCTTATAAATGATGCTTTCAATCAATGTCCTTTGTTTGGTTATAAACATCAAACATCAACAATGATACATCAAGTGCAACCTTAGTAAACAGGTAAAATCAAGATTACAAGCTTCCATAGGAAAATCATAATTTTGAGGCTTACTTTATTTTGCCATTATAAAACTATCTTATAGTTATATTACAGATATAGTTGAAATCAATATAGTTCTATAAATTACACCATCACTTGATGTAATTTACAATCTTGCTCCAAAAAGCATAGGATCATATGACTAATTGTTAGTTTCTCATTCAATACTCTAGTAGCTAGTTTTGCATTTAACGCTTCAACAATTAGCTTTCATTTAATGTTCCAATAGTTAGTTTTATTCTCTATATAAAACCTTGTAATATGAAAATAGAGGATCAAGTTCTTTCCTCTATTTGTAAAAACATAGAGCATTTTTTAAAAGTTGAGAGAATCTTCTCTTTGGGTGAGTGAGTCCCCTCTTTTTTGAGTGAGTGAATCCTCAATCCCTTTGGGTAAGCAAGTCTCCAATCTTGTTGCCTCATATTGTAGTGTTGTAGTTCTAGAAAATAGGTAAAGTGACATCCCAATTTTGGTAGTGAAATCTTCATCAAATTGGGTCATGTTATATATCATTGGAAATCTTTGAGTCTAATTTCTAACGCGATAAATTTCTCATCAATCAAAATTTTCTATGAAAATTTATAAGGGAAGCAAATTCAATCAACGGAGCTGACTGTGCATCCAAATATTTCAAGAAGTAAGATATCATGCCAAGTAAGAATCAACACAAGGCTCCAATTCAAAATGCCCATCTTCATGAAGAAATCAATGAGCTAAAAAATGCCTTGAAAAACATTCAATGCTTGATGAAGAAGATTTTACAAAGGCTTCCCAAGCAAACTCCTACAAGCAATTATATTGCTCCAACCTTGCCTATGGAACAAGCCTTGAAAGATTGCAATGACAATCTTATGTGGCATTTTCTCATTAACGATGTCAAATGAAAAAGAGTAAACTGACCGGGACCATCCTTCAGAATTTGATGAAGATCCTATTACTTGTGAGAAATCTTCCTTCATTTATGATCAACTTCAAAATGATGGAGACAATGTTGATTGGGATAACCCTCCAAAGTTTGATGAAGAATCTATTACTTATGAGAAGTCTTTTATTGTTTATGATCAATTTCAAAGTGATGAGACAATGTTGATTGGGATAGCCCTCCAAAGTTTGATGAAGAATTTAACATTTATGAAAAGTCTTTTGTTGTTCGTGATCAATCTAAAACTAGTGGAGATAATGATGAATGGGATAGCCTTCTAAAGTTTGATGAAGAATCTATTACTTATGAAGAATCTTCTATTATTCATGCTCAACTTCAAGGTGATGGAAACAATATTTGTCAAATAGAAGATTACATCTTTTTAATGCAAGTGTACAGGTACCCATATTGATAGCCATTCTCCCAAAGTTTAAGATAATTATTAGATGAAGAATTGGATTATTTGGTGTATAAGAAACATGTCTCAATAGATAGAAGACATGATGAAGGAATTCTGATCAAGGTTTTATAAAAGGCTAAAGAAGTAGTTGAGGCCTAATGGCCTAAAAAGGTGAGGCGTAAGCCTCAATGCGTTGTGAAGCATAAGCCTCAAAAATTAAGAAAAAAAGTAATTAAAATTTATAAATAATAAAAATTACGTGTAATATACCAAGTTAAAATGATGGGAGGTACAAATATCCATAAAATAGAAGTTTATAAACAATAAATTTTAGCTTTTAAGCATTAAATAAAAAAATAGTTAATCATCCAACAATTATAAGCATTTTACATTTTATGTTTTAAAATGTAATCTTATGAAATTATTCATATGAAAAATCATCTATATAATGGGCATTAGATTTATGGTCATCCAACAGTTGTGAAAAAAGAAACAATGTAGTTGATTTGATCTATGTAAAAAAATCAATAAAAAGAAAAATAAATCCATTAGAAAAAGAAATGAGAAAAACAACAAACTTGGGATGTTAAATTAGAACATTAAGAAAAAATTTTCCATTTGATTTATCCAAGAGAAACTAATTGCTTGATTAGCCTTTATTTTTTGCATTTAACTCTCTTTAGCTAAAATACTAAGAGAAATTAATAGAACTTGATATTTCCTATTGTTTTTTATATTTACTCTTTTTATTTTGCCCATAATTATTAAAGTGCTTTTTCTATATATTTTGAACTATAAAAAATTCATAAAAATATGCATTTTTTTGCATGAAACCACTAAATAATGTTGATATTTGAGGCTTACACCTTTTTACGCCTCACACCTTGAGGCTTGAGGCTTACACCTCATTCTAACAAAGGCTTAAGCCTC